AGAGATGTCAAAATGACAACTCAATGACTAATGATCCCACTCTACAACAAAAAATTCTCTAGCAACCGCACTATTCCTGAGTGCATCCACCACATCATTTGCCTCTCAGAAAATGTTGAAGAACTGGGCACTAGTATATCAATAAAAAGTCCATAAAATATCCTCCAAAATCTTCGTAGGACAGGTGTGTCACACCTCACTAAATGGATCACATCAGGCCTTCACCTTCAACTAGTATTGTCATTCCTGTAAGATATATCATTCCTGTAAGATATAGCTTGATCGCAGAAGAAGTTTCATTGCCACAGTAACGAGCAGCAACCACATTTACCTATCTAAAAGACGGATGTCTGTCTGGCCCATACTAGTTGGAAGTGGGAGGAACAAAAGGTAGACCTATAGCAGGATGTTATTTGTTAAGAGTTTCCAAGTTCAGGAGCTCCTATACAATAAATGCATAAATACAGAGAAAATTCAAAAATAAAATATTAATCATAATTTTGAAAAAATATTTAGCTGCAATATGAATATATTTCTTCTTTGTTTTGAGTGATGCAATATTAATATATTCCAGTTAAATGATTATACTTACAAATATTACTCATAATATTTGGGAATAATAACTTAAATTTACTTGTGTCTTCTCATATATAACTATGCTGCAGATATTTATTTGCTCTTGCATTGTAAATGATAGATAATATGTCAGTCAAAACATTTAAAAGTCCTACCACTTTCTTCACATATCTTCCTACATATCAGTAGGGAAAATAAATAAAATAAAATAAAATAAAGGATGAGGTAAGGATAGAAAAAAAATATGCAACTACTTAGGGAGAGAGATAAAGATGGTAAAGAGATCATTCCCTCTCTTGTACAGATTTTTTTAAAAAAGAAACAGGGCAAATTCCTATAGCAATTTGAGACAAAGTTGGACAAACCGTTCCCTACATTAAATGCTATTTGGAAGGCCTAGATTTAAAACTCAAGACGCAAATATAAGAATTTCTTTCCCTCTAAGTTTATGGAACATGGATTATGATAATTACCGTTTTATATTTCCATTTATTGCTTTCTATTTTTATGGATATGCATTTATTGCTTTCCTTTTCTATTTATATGTATCTAATGCTTCTTACCCTTTCAAAATGTAACTTGTTGAACGACTCTTAAAACACTTATAGGATATCCAGGCCCTTAAAAAATTTATAATTAAATTTTCAAAAACAAATAATTACTAGAAAATGGCTTTGTACCAAACGGGATTCATGGCCATTGAGGCGCATGTGATGCAAAAGAAACATGTGCACCACCACATACATGGCCCACATGTGCCATAAGTTACCTTTAACCCCATATATTTAACTTTCTTAATGTATTGGAGAGGGTAAAAATATACTACCAAAATAGTACTATGGAGAGAAAAACATACATAATTCCACATAAATACTCCTCTACTTTGAGAACACAAAACAATTTTAAGACAATATTTGAGAAAAAAAAAAAAAAGTCTCCCTTCAAAATAACAAATTTGATGCTACTATAATTATTAACAAAAGAAAAAATTGAAAGAGTATGGCAACATGCTATAAGATAATGCATCACTTAAAGCACTCCATGTGTGTGATAACCAGTGGTTTAAAAAACGGATCGGGCACCTTAAAAACCCATCCGGATCGGTGAATCGGCGATTCGGATCGGGAATCGATTGAATAGGTCGGATTAAGCCAGAAAAAAAATCCAAAAAAATTATTAAAATTCATTGCAAATGTTGTTTTTTAAGAATCCAATAAGAAATGGGGGTACTACATTATTAACTTTCATTTTTTCAATCAATTTGCGAATACTGAGATCTTCTTTCCCTATATGAACTTATGTTAACCATTAAATTCACATCACACAAAAGAAAAATCATAAAATTATCATGGATGAAGTATATAATCATACATGGACAAGAAAAATATGGTACTTGTTGTATTACCTTTTATTTTATTTTTTTGACAAGAAATACTTGTTGTATTACTTTTTATGTTTTTGACGAGATAAATAAGAAAATAACAAGAAATACTTGTTGTATTAAGAAATACCTTTTATTTATTTTTGACACTAAGTACTCGTAGTATTTTTTATTTTTTTTGATGAGAAAAATAAGAAAATAACAAGAAATACTTGTTGTATTGAGAAATACCTTTTATTTTTTTTTATAAGAAATACTTGTTGTATTACCTTTTATTTATTTTTTGACAAGAAAAATAAGAAGATATTGTATTACCTTTTTTTTTGCTTGTTGTGTTACCTTTATTTTTTTTTTTGACAAGAAAAATAAGAAAATGCTGGGTTTTTGGGGTGCCCGATCCGGGGCACTGATCTGTTTTTGTAATTATAATATAGTATTATAACCATTAATTATAATATAATATTATAATATTACATCAAAATAATTTTAAAATATTAAAAAACACTTTCATATAATTTAAAAATAATTTTAATGTATATAAAAATAATTATATTGACATAAATTTAACAGAATTATATTTAAGTTATTAACATAAACAAACAACAATTTCATATAATTATGTTAATTTTTGTAAATTATTATTCTTGTGGACATTGATTGCGCATAAAAGTAAACAAAATTGACGAACGATCACTTTAGTTGACTAAAGATCACCCTCACGGACCACGTACTTTATTAGATTGAGGTCACAATCACATAGAGCAATCACGTAAAATATTTATCAAGAATATTCATACATTTTATGTATCAACATAAAATTTTTTGCATTAAAAATTTATCAATAAAAATGAAAAATACAATTTAATTTCTCATGATAATCAAAACCCGGTCCCGATTTTCACGATCTTTCATAAAATCACAATTTTTCAAAAAAATTGATCATCAAAATTTCAACTTTTAAAAACCACAGCCACAACTCCATTTCTTAAGAATTGAGCAATAAAAATTGCTTAATCTGACAAATTACACCCAAAATCATATGAAGAACAATATTACCTTAAAAAAGCCTCTAATATAATTCATATTGGTGCTTCAATTCGTCTCAAATTTGTAGTTTGGTGGGAAAAAAAAAAAACCTAACTATTCTTGACAAAACCGTGACTCAAAATAAAAAATTCATTACAAATCGACCAAAAAAAAGAAAATAAGATACAAATATTCGTGAATAACATCATAAAGAACTAAAACCCCATGATATGAACAAAACATTTGCTAAAAATTGATCGGAATCGATTAAATGGCGGAAAAATACATGTTTTTTCTGAAACTGTGACTTCAAATCCAAACTTCACTTGTAATCGACCAAAATCAACAAAAATGGTGTACACTTTCTGCTAAATAACATAATCACGAGTAATTACCCTCTGATTTCACAAAAAATGGTGGCCTATTTCTTCTGTAATCCAATGAATGGCGGAAAACCTAAAAACGCAGACGCAAACTGAAAACAGTGACTCGAACTCAAAATCCACCTCAAATCGAACAAAATAGATAAAATTGGATACATTTTATGATGAATAACATTATAAAGAATCAAAGCCCTATACTATGAACAAATTATTTGCTAAAAATCAATTACAATCGATTAATTGGCGGAAAAAATGAAGTTCTTACCTGTTTTTCCGCAACCGTGACTTCAAACCCAAATTTGACTTGTAATCGATCAAAATAATCGCAAATGCTGAATAATTTCTTCTCAATAACACTCTCAAGAGTAATAACCCTCTGATTTGATAAACAATACTGCCCTATTTTGTTTGAAATCTAAGAAGTGGCAAATAACCTAAAAAAACTTGTTCTTCACAAATCCGATGATTTGTGATCTAAATTCGAGCTTGCAATTCCAATATAACGACTAATAAGGCTGAAAAGTGATAGATAAAGCCTGAAATATTTGATCCAAAGCCTGCAAAAGAAAAAAAATCATCAAAAAAATCCAAAATTTGATGATACATCTGGCTTTTCATTGTTCACCCGTGTTTGCTACAGTGACTCGAGCGGTTCACTGTTCCGAATAGCCTGGTTCTCTCTAGACACAGACGAGTTTGTGCTATGTCGTGGAATCGGCACGGAGGTGCCGATTCCCGTGTCGAACCGGGCGAGTCCGGTTCGACTAGGCTAGTTTTGAAACGCTGGAGCTAACCATGAAGTCACATTTCACCTCCCAACTAACCCAATAGAGTCCATAATCCCCATAGCTCACGATTGGCCGCCAAGACGTCAATGGACTACAACGTTGCTTATAAATTTCCAATGTCCCCCAAGGACAAATCATGAGAACTAGACATATACATCAATCAAAAGGTGTGGGGTTCTTGTCCTACACAAATGTGTAGACCACCCAAGTTCCACCAAAGGGTGGTGCGTCGAGCTTTTGACCAAGACTCTACACCCTCACAGGGGAGTGCGTCTTCCTCCAGGCTCACAACCACCATGCTCACTCAGATCTTGACAAGGGATGGCCCTTAAACCCTCTATATATTAGGCTTCATGCCCCTCTGGAGTCCAAGGTCTTTGGGTACTTCAACTCCTCGGCATAAGTCTAGATCCCAAACTATAGAGAGAGTCCTAAGGTACTCATGCTTGTATGACCTAATGCACTCCCCTCATGGAGCAATCCACACTCCCACCAAAATTGAGATGACTCTCGTCATTTTCATTAATGGCATGAGTACTTACATGGGAAATACAAGACCCTTAAAGGCCATAAAAAGCCCAACAATTTTCAAACCATTTCATGTTTGCATTTCATGATACGGCAAGTGACCTTTGTCATAATGCGTCTTTCCAGAAAGCAACAGAAAGGTTTATGTTTGTTTACAAGAGTTGAGAGTATCTCAAAACCATGGTGTATTAATTGCATTAAATACTAATAATGTGGTGGAAGATAAAAGCGACAGCATAATGAAAAGGTTCCATATTTATTATGTCGATCAGGGAAAAGGTCCCACATAATTGCTTATCTATTCTATTTGTAGATTACCAGAATCATGTCCTGTTTCTTCTCTATCCAACTTGCAGTGCTCAATTTCTGAATGATATGACAGCAATATGCTACCCACTGAAAACTTCCTGTAATCATAAGGATCTTCATCTTCCATATGCATATTCGGAGGTTCAGCTGCACAGGCAGCCGGGATATCTTTCTCAGACGAACTCATTTCACATAAAATATCAGTTTGCTTGGATTCAAGATCAGCAAATTTGCTTCGTGTCATGGAGGAGTAGCCTTGTATTCTATCATGAAAATCTTTCTTACTGTCAGCTGAACCTGGTGACCCCTGTGTAGATGCCAGAATGAACAAACATCTTATGCACAAGATAAAGAAGCAGCCTAAAAAGTACACAGAAACAGTGTTTTGATGTTCAGATGAAAAATCTCAGAACTACATGTGTGTATTCCATTTATATGAATGACTTATTGACAAGCCTGTGATAAAGTTATACTATAATTCAAAGTGATCAGCAAAAGAAATCCAGATTATCAGATAACTTTGATGTTTATGCATACAGAAATCTCAGCAGCCCATAATACCCGAAATTACAGCAACCTTGCTGCCCTAGCAGTCACCCATGGATTGTCACATACTCTAGTGGTTCAGGCACTCCAGCAACCTAGCTAATTTCAGGAAGCAAAATCTAAAAAAAAAGGAAGAACGCCATTCAGGAAAGCACACCTTCTACAGCCCATACTTCTCCAAAAACACACAGTCCAAATAACAGGCCAAAATCCCCTATCCATGATCAAGAGGTAGGTCCAGTCACGGGTACTCAACAACACCTCCATCCAATCAGAACACCAAAATGGTATATGGCCTCCATTGAACCCATAGTTTGGTTTCCTTTAGGAAAAACTGCAAACCTATAGCTTCAGACATGACATTCTCCTAAAGTTTCAATTGTTACGAAAACAAAACAGAAGCAGTCCAACAATAGTCATTACAGAGGAAGGCCTCTGATTTACCTACAACTCAAAAGGTCCCAGAAGATGAGCTACCAGCTCACCCACAAGTACGGGAATGGACTTGCAAACCTTTGGAACAATTTATAAGATGATCTGAAGACCATCTCGATTGGACTTAAAGTAGAATTGCGATCATAGAGATCTTCTTCTTTTTTTTCTTTTTCTTTATTGATGTTGGGGAATGATATCTCTCTTTGGTTTTTGCTTGGGATTTTTCTTTTTTTTTTGGTGGGGGGGGGGGGGCGGCTAGTGTTAAGTAATAGCAAAACCCTATCAAAAGAACTTCCCATACATGCCCAACTTCTTTTTAGAGGATTCTGGAAACCCTTGGGAGAAAAGTCGGAGCCTTCGATAACATTGAGATTTGGGATCCTTCCTAGTGAATCAGGGGAAGATAAATGAGTTAAACCTTTTTTCATTCTTTTTTTTTTTCTCAATATTAAGGACAACATTAATCACCAAAAAGCACAAAACAATGAATCCACAATGGAGACCAAGGTCCACTCCAAAGTACCCCATTGAATCATTATGATCCCATTTCATATTCAAGGCTTGAGACCATAGTTGTTGGTTCGGGATTGAGTTCGTGATTGGGCTCAGGGCTGTTGGATCTTGATAGGTTAGAAGCTCCCCATAATTAAGATCGTTGTCCATAGAACCTGAAATTCAGGGAGCTCATTCCCTAGATGCTAGGGGGATTGGTCTTATTTTTAGGGATCACAGGAAGATATTTGAAAAGATTGAGATCCTTCTACCAAGAAATTGAGGTCCTCTACTAGCCTTAAATAAGGTTTCTTAGTATAGGAATTGAAGTCCTCAAGTGTCCTTAGCCAAGGTTCTCCTAGTAGTGGAGGTGAGGTTCCCATGTAACCTTAAATAGGATTCCCCTAGTAAATAGAATAGAATTCCCTGAGTTGCCTTTCACCAGGTCCTTATACAGGATTTGAGATTCTCAATATTGGGTTTTGTGACCTTTAAAGGCCTAGAGAGCTTATAAATATGATATTTTATAGTGGAATACGCACTTCAATGGGAGTGTGTGCGTTGACTAACCAAAGGTTGAGCGGTTTATGGCCTCGATCATGTTCAAAACCCTTATCCCTGGGCATGTGGCACTACTGAGAAGGGTTCACATTGGGTCATCCCTTGTTGAGGTTGGAGAGAAGCCCAAGGATAATGTTTGTAGGCCAGGAGAACAATGTGGTCTCCTATGTGTGGTTGTAGGCCTGTGAGAGCAAAGCCAAAACCTCAACAAACTTTTGCACGGTATGTACACATGACATCTGCATTACTAGGAAGCAGCCCTATAGAGGGACACGTGTACATGTACATAGAGAGAGCCTTTTTTGCATTCTACGATTATGGTCCCACTATTTATAGTCCAATTTTGACAAGCCAATCATGAGCCCGTGCTTTGAGACTGTGGGTCAGAGGTGTCTATTGGCTTGGATAAGAAAATAGTAATGGATCATGGTTCTTGGGTCAAGCGGAGTGCCTTTATTGTCGCTAATTTTGATCTATTGGTATCAATCCACTCCTACTATATTTTATTTTGGTATTATAAATATTTGTATGATCTTTAACTATTTTTTCAAAATTTTTAAATATTATTTCCGAAATAATATTCATCCAAAGGGTATTTCTGAAATTTTCAAAACTTAAAATAACACATGTGGGACCAAGGATCCACCCACATGTATGTGTGTTTCGTTTATGTGTGGGGACCACTTGCCACCCCCTAATGGGCAACGCCCAATTTATTTGCACGCGACTTTTCTAGGAAAACGATGCCCATATTTTTTTATTTTTTGTTTCAAAGTTTTAAATTAGTTAAAAGATATGAAATCTTTTAATTTTGAATGAGATTTGGTTACCTATTCTAATAGGAGTTTTAAATTATAGATTATCCTTGATTTCCTAAAAGATTATAGGACATCTAGATAATGACAAGACTGGTTATATTTTAAATTTAAAAAGGAGCTGGATTTGGGTCAAAATATAAGGGGATAAAGTTCTTATTTTCTACCCAAAATCATGATGGCTAATTTTGTGGGATGGATGACTCTGATTAAATTTCTCTCACGCCACAGTTTTTTTAATTATCATAAAGGTCTGCTTAGAAAATAAAGATAAGGCATACCTAAAGAAATCCTATTCAAATTAGGAGATAAATTTCATTCTATTTAAAGGCATTTTTTTAATCTCTTTCAAGAGGATGACAAGCTCTTTCACTCCCATGCAAAAGATTCCTCTCTCTCTCACGTCCAAGTTTTCTCTGTCCATCACGTTAAAAATCTCTCCCTCTCTCTCTTTTCTCCGCGCCACAATTTTTCTCTCTCTTTTCTCCTCCCTCTCTATACCCCATAGGGAGCCATGCCACCCTCTCTCTTGTTATGTGTCTCAACACCCAAAAAAAGGTGGTGCTATAGTGAAACTAGAGCAAGGGTTTGTTGTATTTTAAAAAAAAGAAGGGAGAAGCCTAACCAAGAGAGAGATCAACTCACAAATTCAGCCCTAGTTTGTTCCTATAGGGTTATAGAAATCCGAGTTAAGTTTTTGAGCTCTCTAAAACCCTAGATTGGAAGGTACCTGAAAAGCTTCCCCCAAAATTTTCAGCCACACCTAAAGGACTAAAAAGTGTGGCATCAGTCAAGGAATTGGATGTGGGGTGGATCAAGACCTATAAGGGTAACTCCAAGAATTTTCTAGTAAGTCTTCCTAGTAGTTTCTAAAACAATTTCAGCATTATTTCTTATTTTTCTGTGCATTTTCAAGAACATATATTGTATTAAAAATTATAGTAGAAGTTTGTTTTAACCTCTTAGATTGTTTTTATTTCTTTTGGGAATGAAAATAAAGATCATAGGTTGTATCTAGGGTGTTAACTTTAATTTACAGCAATATATAATGGGTATATGTAAGTAGAATTCAGGTATATTGAATAAAAAAACAAGAACTTTTTTGAATTTAGTACCTTGAGTTTTACATAGCGCCACTCCTTCCACTCAATGCCCACAAACCTTGTTCCCCTAGTATTAGAATTGACGTCCTCGAGAGACCATGATGCATCTCTAATCTTCTTGGCCCTATTGAATTCTTTGAGTCAGGAAGCTCCTTTAAGCACTACTTTTTCAAAACTAGGATTCGAGAGCATAAAACAAATTTGGGCGTGCCCCTCTATCAACCCTGCGGATGGCATGCCACACCCAGCCCTATAGGGTGGTGCATACCATCACTTTTTGGAACAAGAAAGACAGAGAGAGAGAGAGAGGTGTGGAGAAAAGAGGAGAGATAGGCTAGAAAATTTCATATGCTGAGAATGAGGGCTACCCACCATTTATAGCCTCCAAGTGGTTCTATGCATACCTATATAATTTAGAATTCATCTTGGACATAGGAGTCCTAGCTAATTTGTGAGGTGGGAGAGAAACAAATCTAGGCCATTCATCCCATGAATCAGCCATCATGATTAGGGAGGAATCTAGGAACGTTATCCCATGATTCTTTGATATCAACTTCTAGCCAACCTACGACAAGACCAATCATAAAACCATATTCTATCTTGAGCAAAACTTCCTTTTCTCTCATAAAGAGATTGTAGGAATTCAAAGTCGAAGAGAATTGATAAAAAAACAAAAAGATTTGAAATAACATTTTTTTCAAACATAAAATATTCTCTACCTCCACAAAATATTCTCTAACCCCACAATATATGAACTATAAATATTTTTCAAAGATTTCGTAAGGTTTCCTTCCTTAATAAAACACTTTTACTAAAGACAATTTAATCCTTAACAAAAATGAAAAGACATGGGCCTCCTCATTAGGCTAGGACGGGTGGGCCATATGGGCCCCACATCCCACACCCATGTGGGGCCTCCAATATGTGAGGCTGGGACCTTGGCCCCCACATGGGTCCCACAATGTCCCTAGAATTTTTGGCATTAAAAAAGACACCTTTTTAAGATTTTTTATTGCTGAAAATGATTTTAAAAATCCTTAACAAAAATGAAAAGACATGGGCCTCCTTATTAGGCTAGGACGTGTGGGCCATATGGGCCCCACATCCCACACCCATGTGGGGCCCCCAATATGTGAGGCTGGGACCTTGGCCCCCACATGGGTCCCACAATGTCCCTAGAATTTTTAGCATTCAAGAAACACCCTTTTAAGATTTTTTATTGCTGAAAATGATTTTAAAAATCCTTGAAAATTTTCTAAAAATCACATAGTCATTTTCGAGTTGAAACTAAGAATTCTAGAAGTGGACTTGTCGCAATGGATCGAGAAAAGTGAATGTCAATGCATTCCACCCGACCCACTAACAATGGTTCTTGAATATCTTTTCAAACCAACCCAATGAGACCCATTGTCTAATATAGGGGCTCATGATTGGCTCATCAAAGCTGCCCAATAAATAGTGAAGGCCCCTCCCCCCCCCCCCACCACCACCACCACCACCACCACCACCACCAAGAATAAGTCACATCCACATATCACCATAGTGCAAGAGGAACTCTTTCTATATAAATCTACATGAATCCCTTTGAAGAGCTGCTTACCAGTTTGCGGTGTTATGTGTATATGTTGTGTAGAAGTTTGTTGAGGATTTAGCCCTCGCTCTCACAAGCCTACATCTGCACCAGGAGACTAAGAAGCTCTCCTAGCCTACAAACCATCCCTAAGCATCTCTCCAACCTCAACAAGAAATGAACCTCTTAAAACCATCTTTGGCAGTACCATGCGCCCAAGGATAAAAAGTTTTGGACATGACCAAGGTCATAGACTGCCTAACCCTAGGTCAAGAAACCAACGCATACACTCCAACTGAAGTGTATAGAACACTATAATTATTTATTTACCTGCTCGCACAGGCTTTAGAGGCCACAAACCCCAACATAACAAAACACCCCAACTTGTACACTTTACTGTTTTATTTCCAGCTTTCAAGAAAGCATGTTCCCATGAAAGTATAAGATATCAAAAAAGACTCCTAAGAAAAAATCTAGCATGATATATTTCCAAGTAAAACCAAAGTTTCTCTATGCATAGGCAAATGAAGTATTCAGCATGCCAGGATTTATACAAAGCTATTTTTGTGCAAGTGCATTCATTCTCGGTATGTAATCATTAAAATAAAGGATTGACGAATATTACAAAATTAACTAAGCATACAATAAACATGGGATAAAATCCTATAACTTAAGATGTTAACAATGAAATCCTATGTATCAATTAGTATCGCCAAAATTTGGATATCCCATATAACACAAACCCTGCAAAATATTATTATATATTTTTTGTTATGCTAAGCTCAAAAAGTAAAATTAAGGTCTTCCTGATATTATATTAAAACCATATGAACTGCTTTCAATAAGATGGCTTCAAATTCTTGAGTAGAAACAAATTACACACTTATATGTATCTAAGAATAAATAAAGAAATAGAAGAAACTAATAGAAATGAAAGGAACATATTCAAACCCTTAAACATTGTCATAATCTTATAGTTATTCAACTCCTATTCCAATCCATCGCTACAACAGTTTATTTTCCGATTCATACAGCTTTACTGGATCAAAATCAGTCTCCATGGTTAAGCATAGGAACTCTAGGGTTAGTTTTGGACTTTTATTACAACTTACTATTTATAACAAGTTTGTAGAAGTTCTTTAATCCCTACAAAGAGTAAGTACTGCTTTCATTGCTGTAAACAGAAAACCAGCAAGCCGAAGACATTGAATTACCTACCCAGATCGAAGATCTTCAAGCTTTTATTCAATAGAGATGCTGAATCTGTACTTTTGAGAGCAAGAGTTTTGGTTCTATAGAAGATGGCAACTAGGGTTTGGTCCACCCCTCTCTCTTCTCTTCAATGGCTCCCACATAAGGATTTAGTCGGGTGTGTGACCCCTTTCCCATTTAAATTAAGGGTGCGGCTTGTGTAGAACCGAGGCTCTAAACAATCAAAGTAAAGCGCACCTTCAAACAGTCTCGAGAAATGTAATTTCAATACTGAAAATTTTGTGATAGCCTTAAAATATATTTTCATCTTTAATTATAAAATTTAAAGCTTCAAATATAGTGTAGATCGAGCAGATCTATGAAAACATGAAAACCTTGAAAATTGATGGTCCAAAAATGCGTTACAAGATGCACAATTTCTAAAACTTGAAATCCATTTTTTTTCTCATGTCCATGCATCTTGACGTCGAGATGATCAATTTGAGGATATTTGGGCATCAAGACAAGCTCTTCTAGTGAAATTTTTGAGGTGGGCTTTAATTTGATTGTTTAGAGCCTCAGCTCTATATAAACTTTTTCTTTAAATTTATTCATAAAAAACACCGAGACACAATGTCCCTAGCCTCTTGAGAGAAGACACCAACCCAAAAATAAGTGTCTGTGTGTAATCTATCGAATCTCTTTCGATCAAGATCCACCCATCAGCCCCAACATCTTACGAGGCTCAATCTATAAAGCCCTGGCAACCTGCCACAGTGGTCCCACCACTGCACCTCACTCTTGTCATTGACAATCCCCCCTTTGACGAGGAATGCCCCTCAATGCACAAGTCTGTCTATATGTGCAAAAGGTTTTTTGCAAAATATGACTTAACCCCAAACATGGTTTGAAAGAATATTTAACTTGCATTGAAAAAAAAAACACCACTCCAAAGAACACTCAAGGAACCCTAAAATAGACAATACCAAGAATGGCCCTGGTATAATACAAATATGGCTAGCAATAGGCCGGGTCGGCACAGCCCTCAAAAAGTAGGGCTTGGGCCAAAACCTGTGGCCTAAGGGCCAAGCTAGGGCCAGTGCCAGCCTGGTTTGACCCAGCCAGGCACTCTTTTTTTCGTGTTTTTTACTTTGACTTTTCTTCATTTGTTTTTGGCTTTGCCTGGTCGAGGCCCCTATGGGGACAAGGGCTGGGCCAGCGACAAGGCTGGCCCAGCCCATTGCCACACTTACATAGAAATTGTACAAATAAAATTAATAAAATCCCATAAAATTACAATAAATAGAAGTAAAAACACTTTCAACAAATTCAGAGTATTCATGGCACTGTAGTAAAATTACCAAAATACCATTTTAAATTAAAAATGTGATCTCAAAATATTTTAGGTTTCTAAAATGGGTTCAAATGACTTGACTCTCCCTGCAAACAAGTTTGAAGACTCCGGGACTTAGACCCATTTGTATGTCCTTCCACACTATTAAAGATACGAGATGCATGCCTATTTTCAAATCATGCACATAATCCATCCATACAAGTGGCACTGTGTTCTGAATTTGGTGAATCATAACAATCCATGCACACTACCACCCAACTCCCGCATCTGTCACGTTATGCGATCTGTGTGCTTTGAGCATGGACTCAAAGCAATAGTTTACCCATCCTGCTAAACACCAAGATCTAGAGTCCTAAGGCTGAACACAATATTCTAGTGAGAAGCTCTTCGCAAACACAATCCCCCCCTCTAGCCAAGTTCACATCCTCTAGCCAAGTTCACATCTGCCATCCTTCAATCGAGTTTGACTCATAGTGAGGGATTCACGTATGCCACCTCAAGGCACCAAATCCTTAGGAGGTCAATTGTGAAAAGTTTCAACCACATCATCCCCAGCAGTCTGAGGAAACGTACTAAATACTATATATACTGATCAATCCCAATGGCTCACTCCATATACCAGTACACTATTAAGCATTCATACACATGGGAATGAGGAAATCACATCCCTAAGTGAAAGCATGTAGGCATAGAAAGGATAACAGGAAAGACCACAATTTTATAATTCAATTTGATAGGTTCAAAGTCCAAGTATATGGCAAAAAAGAAAAGGAAAAGAGACCAACAGAAAATGTCTTTGAAAGCCACATTCCTACATCTGGCCCATGCATGGCCACCAGAGGGCTGAAATTTCTTTGCCAAATGGATTTTTTTTTTTTCAGGGAACTGATCAGAATTCAAATACATTAAGAGGAAAGCAACCAAAAGACAAGAAGAAAGGGTATCTACCTACCAAAAGAAAACCATGTTGCATTTTCTATTACTCCACGTATTGTGTGCTTACAAATTCAAGTGTTTTATAAGGGGGAAGCAGATTGCAATCTATGTTCGAAAAGATGGCCACCCAGGCGGCCGGGAGGTCTCCCAGGGCCCTTTTGGCGAAGGCTGAAATTACACAAAGCATGACACACTAAATATAAAAAACTAAGGCATACCAATGTTATTAAGACTTTCTCCTTTGCTGGAAAGGGTTATTAACCGATACAACAGTGTCATGCAGGTTCAAGAAGGGAAAGTCTCTCGTCCACATGATGTGGACCAACAAGCACCCTTCCAACGGTTCAAATTAGATAATGTCATATCCAATGGCCAAACTCTAATTTCGCTTTTTATTATATTTTTAAAAATTATATTTAAGTGAAATTTAGAGTCTAAATTAATTTTTATAAGGGGGAGACCAGTGAGAATAGTAATAAACTATTTTGAATAAAAAAGCCCAAAGTACCCTTAAATATGTTTCGGTCAATATCTTTTTCAAATATCTTTTTTATTATTTTTATTTTGTTCCCCACATAAGAATCAATTTACATCCCAAATTTCAGATAAATATAATTTCAAATAAAAAATAAAAATGCAATTATTTTATAATATTTGGATGAGGTTAGGTTCAATCTAAATTGTTGAAGCTTGTGCAGCACCCTACAAACATCCACATGGTGTGAACACTATACCATCCCTTTCAAGAATTACGTGCCCACATCTGGTTTTATGGATTTAACGAGGTCAGGTTCATCTGAACATAACTAGGGCCATTTCAGCAGCATTTGAAAATAATAATAGCTAGTTTGCTGGCAGCATGTGCTTTAGTCAAAATTCAGTTCAGGTGCGAACAATATTTGGCATTTGTGCAAGAGGGATCAAGACCGATATTTTCAGTTTCTCGCACTCACAAAAGATGGCACTGCAATGAAGGGCTCAAATGACATCCATAGAGACCAATTGTACAGGACTATTTAATAGAGAGCAATTGTTTTTTTATCTTTAACATTAACTTTAATAGAGTGCAATGATTAAAGGACTACTAGAGTCACATTCACTAAAACAAGTACTAGCACATAAACACAAATATAATATTACTATAACTATCAATGATGATCAGTATCAAATTTCTTTTGATGTTGCTGATCAGTATAAATATGATACCTTCATATGTAACGCCTGAAGGAAAGCATCAGTCCTCCTCTTATTCTCCTCAAATTTCTCATTAGCAAGACCAACTAAGAATCTCACATACTCTGACGAAACCATGAGCCTACCAAGTTGTCCTAATGGCACCTCCAACCGAATGGAGCATCTTATTGACACCATAATTCTCCTCCCAATACCCGTTATACCTAAATAACAATCATCAGAAATTAATATGCAAGTTGATGCCCTAATCTTTCTATCTACATAGAAAGATAAAACAAGAGAGAGTGAGAGAGATCAACAACTAAATGTAATATTGGCAAAAATCAAGTTTTAAAGCAGAAACGAAAAAAAAGAATTATATATTACCCAATCTCAACATCTAAAAATCGAAATAAGCACACAAAAAGATCGTAAAAAGATAAAGATCGATAAACCAAAAAAGGTGAATGAAACGAGGGGAAATAATGATATGATGGAGTTCCAGGTTGCAGCTCTATCCCTTAAAGAGATAATAAGCAACTAGAGATGCCGGTTTCAACCTATATATGCCACCATTTTAAAGAGCACTCCATGAGTAATAGATACCCTTCACTGTATACCATTGGATGCTCTATACATAAATTCCTTCTTTTAGGTCCCCATGCATGAAAGCATTTTCAGCATCCATCTGTGACAATCATGGGCTACTGCAAGTAATCAAACACCTCTTGCCCTATTTTCACCATAGGACTAAATGTTTCATCATAGCCTGGCTCGTTTTCTTAATAACTGATGGGGTGTCAAGAGGCCTTGCTCAAGGTAACAAAACTTAAAAAAAAATTCTCTTGAAGGCAACAAAACCAACTCTTAACTTTAATTTTCAGCAATATATAGACTTACATAGCTCAAAGTTTCATAATATACATACCCCAAAAGACTTTTACAATACCTTAACTTGATCCAATACTAGTGGAAGCAATCACAAAAAAAGGAGATTGGCCAAATTCAATATTACATAACAAATTCAGCCCTTAAACATTTAGGCTATCAAATAAAAACAAATTACGTAGTCTTGAACACAATAATATGCCAATCTCCTAATAGATGGACAAAACTAAATTGTGCACAAAGGACACAAGTCACGAGTCACCTTTGCCGGTTAGGGACTTAGTTTCATCCAATATATTGCCCTAATCCGATAGCACGAGAATATGGTCCAGTCTAATCTAGATAGTGGGAAGCATTAGAAATAGGCAAGCAACACTTAAAATATGCTCGAATACTCATGGAGATAAGATGTGAATAAATGTGAAATCACATGGAGAAAAAGAGTGGTGCATGGTGAGGCAAGCAAAACTACTTCAAACCACGACAAATTGTAGTAAAATTAGCTAGGCATGGAAGCAAATCACATATGCATGAAAGGCAACCAAATGTGCAAAGAAGTGAGGTCTCCAAGGGGCTTATACCTTGCAGTTGATGGAGACTTACAGCAGGGATGGATGGGCTTGATGCAGAGTAAAAGCTCCCTTTAGTAAAAAGATCATCTCTAAGAAAGCACCATTGAGTATGCAATCAAATACCAAGTGGGGGCACAACATTTCATTTTCTCGCTCTTTCTCCTCTCAAATCTCATGGAAGCTCTCTCTCTTCCTTCTAAGTTTGGGTTAGAAAGGCTAGGTTATGCTTTTGCATAATAAGAGAATTAGGGTTTTAGAGATAATGTATATGAGAGTGAGGTGGCCTTTTTCCTAGATCAAAGTGGACTATTGATATGAGGGCGTCTATGGCTTGGAGAGAGGGATAATCCTAGCCCCACATCCACTCACAAGCTATTGTTGATGAGTAGTTGTGATTAACCTTTATCCCATGGTACAAGTTAATTACTAATTTCCCTCCTAAATTTCAAAAAAAAATAAAATTGATAATACTTTCCCTCCTAAATTTCAAATTCTGAAAAAAAAATAAAAAATTTCAATTTAAATCACGTTATATAATTGCCCATGGTGTGTTAGAAATTATGTGAGAGAAAAAAAAGGAGAGTATGCCCTTCAATTCTCTACACTCTCTCTCTAATTCAAAACATTGCTTTTCTCTCTTAATTTAAATAATATCCACTCGATTTCATAATCATAATCGATGTCATAAACCCATGTGGCATGTCATAAACCCATGTGACATGTTTCACACACATGACCAATCAAGGAACCTACCTTAGAAAAAGTTAACATGCAAGCCCCTTCTCACTGGACCACGGCTTCTTAAAATGTTATGCCATGTGGGCAACACACATGTATGCAAAAATGGGTGCACATGTGTGACAAAGCAAAGTACTTAAATAGTATAAAACAACAAGACATATTCCAATAAAGTCCATTCCATGCGACAAGTCCCCTTTCCGGGGGGGGCCCATTGGAGATCTGGACCCCAGGTCTAGGATGTCTTTGAATGGAATTTCTCCAACACAATTTCAGAAGACCATTATTTTGCACTCCGAAAAAATCATAAAAATAACTAAATTCACAAAAAAATCACAAAAAAAACATTCTCAGTAATTACTCAATATATTCCACTGTTTTGAAACTAATAAAATAATTTTCTAGAGAAATTAGGATTCTTAAGGAAACTAATCTTGTTGATTTGAGCATTCCACTCAGTTAGTTCCGAGACCCTAAGTCATTTTCACGAAACTAACCCAACAAGAACCATGGTCCACAGTATCTGTCAGCGGCCCATGCTTGGCTTATCAAAGTTAGATAGATGGCCGAGTCTTGGAATTATAGTGGATTATAGGTAGACCCCCAAGGACATGCACTCTCGAGATGCAGGAGTACTCTCTCTAATACATCTACGCGTTTCTCCTCAGTGGATCAGACAATGAGTGAATTCTCATTTATGGTCGTTCACGCTCATGCTGTGAGAAGGGTTCACCATTAGGGATGTAGTTCATGTCCTCTTAGAGCCTCTCCTTCTCACATAGGGCTTTGCTCAGAAATGCTCAAAACAGAAATGCTCTGATCCACATACAAAAATACTCATAAATATGAAATACTCTTGCCTTGGCTTACCCAATCACGAGGCATTCTCATACCGACCCCAACTTAGGGACAACCCTTAACCCTACAGTTCGCTGCCTCTGAAACTCAAGCCTTGTGATATAAGGTTTTGTTACTCTATGATACCAACTCTAGACCTAGCTCACACAAATTCTGAGTCACGTGTTCTTAATCACTCCCACTGTGAACAAGAACTACAAAAACTCCTGGTGTCAAGGCCTTGAAAGGCCATAACCCAACAATTATATTCCTTGAACCGCTCAATCGAACCACACATTTGCAACTAGCCTTGCTTTGAACCGCTCAACTGAACCATCCTCATATTTTATTTTACCCATTTCAACCCCCCAACATTCTTTCGGTCTTAGCACTATCACCCACGCTCCATAATCCAAGAAGTATTTGATGGTGGGAAGAAGTTCGAGGTTGCAATATGTTAAAATTGGCAATTGAGCACGTTAGGGCAGCTGCATTATTTTGAAACACCAAATGAAATCTATGGAAACATTGGGCGGCGGTTCGATGCGTTTTCCTAGTAAGCTAACATATGATGAGCTGGTTGGCACTCGCATGCTAAAAGTGAACCAGCAAAATTCCCTGAGCATTATGTCCTTACTGATTGTTATGACCAGCACATCCTTGATTTCCACCATGTTGTTTAAGTGGATAGAATCAACTATGTGCACCGCAAAGGTTGTTTCTTCCTCTTCCACGGCCTCTAATAGAAATGTTCGAGTAATTAACATTTAAGATATAACACTTTATTCCTTGACCTTCAATTCAATTTTCTTGAATAAGGGTTGGTGCTGCAGTAAGGGTGGACAAATGTAGGTGGTCTAGACATGTCCAGTGTGACATAGAGGTCCTACTCTTCACCTAATCCTCCAAGCAAGTAGAGTGTTTTATCATCATCACTAACCTCACAGCCAATGGTAGCCAGTTGATCACAAAGTACCTTCACCTTGTTGAAGGTAGCTAACTAATGGTAGTATTTCTCTCTCTTACACTATTGCGTTGACAGTGAATATACATGAGGCATACCTTAGATGATTAAGAATAAAGCTCATGGACAAGATCCCATATTTATTTGGTTGAACAAACATCTACCACTTGATACAAACTGTGCTGGATTTAGCCAACACAAAAGAAATTGCTCTGAAGCGGACAAGTTCGCATAATCAAGGTTGGAGACTAGTTTCATCTCTTTCGGCCATCTTAAGTGCAATCACTTCCTCAATGAGTACCAAGGGGGCACATAAGGTTCCATTATGATGTCCCATCAGTTTTCACCCATGTAAGAGGGAAATGATTCGGCTCTTCCAGATTATGACATTGGTAAAGTCCAATTTAATAGATACTAGATGAAGGAGTATGTTGGGGGAGAAAGAAAAATTAGTATATGAGGAAACCATATTTGAGATGCAAAGGAGAAAATCTTAGGGTTTAAGAAAAAAATAGGGTACGAATTCAAAGTTGAGAAAAGGTGGGAATTTAGGCTTCTAGAAGAAGAATATAGATTTCTTGAATTAGGGCTTTGGAAGAATAGGTCTTTTAGTAGGCTATGAAGTTTCTTCCTTTTTTTATTTAAGATAATCAACTTCAAAATTAAGAATGAGAAGGAGTGAAAAGAGAAATATGAGATATGATAGAGTTGGTGCAAGGAGATCGAGGTCAAGAAAGATTTTATGACGTGGCCAGATCCTACTTGGAATTTTTGGATCACATTTGACTTAATGATAGGGTGAAATAGGGTTAACACGTCTGAATTATAAAAAAGTTCTAGATTTGATTTCGACAAGAGAATGAATAAGATGAAATAATATTGATTAAAAGTGTAGAGAAATTGATTTGAGTTGGAATAGTTCCAAATGGGTAAAATATTGAATATGTAATCTCTTATGGATGTTTTGATAAATTTCCCAATAAATTTAGAATCAAAGAAGAATGATTCTATTAATAACTTATGTGAAAGATACTAGGGTTTGACAAGAAATAGAGTTAGAATAGAGAAGGGAAAAATAGAATTAGAGTCTGATATTCAAGAAAGGAAGGAAACAGAATTAGGGTTCGATCACAACTTTCAAATGAAGCCCCTTGGATCGATCTTCAACCTCTACTCTTATACCATGAAAATAATTCAAGAAGGTAAGAAGACGAAAGTAGGCAAT